GCACAAGACAAACTGGCACTGCCTTATGCCCAAGGCATAAAGGGTTAGACCTAAAACTGCCTGACAGGCCTGCTAGGGTCCTAGATTTTTTATTATATTTAATCAAACTTACCCATTCTCTACTGTGACTTTTATTAGAGCCATAAAAGGTAAGAAGTAGTTGAGGAGGGCAATTAGATATTGTACCCCTAAAGCCTGCTTGCTCCACAGTATCCACAAAAAATATTTAACTCCAGAAGATAATTGGGTGGAGGCTATTTCTGCATTTGGCACATCAAAATCTTACTGAAGTTTCCTTGCTTAAATCAAGGCTTGATATTTTGCTCGTACTAAATGTTCTGGGAAATCTGCTTATTCCAACTAAAGAACAACAGTTTAAGTCTCATGCAACTTGCACTTACCATCCTGCTTTTCATTGGGGTCTATTAGCCTTTTGGGACACATCTGGCAAATAGCAAAAAATGGAATGCAAAGGTGAAAAAACTCTCTAATTCTCTTTCTGAAGAAGGAAAGAGGACATTTATGCTCCACAGCTTTTCCTCTGTGGTTTTAGCCAAGCTTTTCAAAATCAATTGACTAATGGATAGACTGGAAAGATGGGAAATGGTGATCCTTCAATAAGCCAAGCATCCTGTACAGTATTACTGAACAGTAAGATGGTCAGAGAACCAGCAGATCTTCTTTTTCTATCAAAATATGTGGTTCCACCTACACCCAAATTCTGCAATAATTAGACCTACTTCTAGAATCTTAGTTACAACAAAAAAGCACATTAAAATTAATTTTGAAAGTTTCAGGAATTTTCCATGTGTCATGTCAGTATTATGGCACTGTAGCAAATAAAATATACTAAATAGCTCTCAAAAAGATAAAAAGAGACAAAAGAAGAAAATCCCTGTTGAAGCTTTTCAATTACTAAGCTAGACATTTTTATTGTATGCAGGTAACAAGGAAAGGACTAGAGCAGTGTTGGAGACTTTAATGTTATTATTCATATTTTGGAAACTGATACCCAAGAAATAACTTAAGTTGAAGTCAAATGTCATCTCGAAGTTTTTTCTGCTTAAGATTTCTACAGAAGTGTTTCTAAAATGATTTCTGTTTGGAAAATCAATGTGTAAAGTGCAAAACTTCAAGATTTCATATTCAGCTTTTTTTTTGTTTTTTAAACTACAGATGGTAATCAAAACTTCTTTGGGAACACACAGGAATCTCAATTTGCAACCAGACAAATCAAATATTTGAAAGAAGTGGTAACACACTTAAGAAATTGGTACATAATAAAGTAGAAAAGTATCCTTCCTTTTGCCACTGAAAGACAAATTTTCAAAGATACTCACAGGGTTTGCATTCCTTCTACTAGTATGATTTCCCAAATGAACAAGTAACAGATGACTGGAGTACACTGTGATATTTGGTGTCTTACAACTGAGTTGCTCTCAGCAAAATTAAAAGGTGTTCCATCATGTCTTTAGTCTCATCACTGCACCATGTCTTATGGAGCTTCCCTGCAAGAAGGATCAAAAAGGCTTCTACATATTTTTATATTTGATTATGGTGATTCCCCAAAGTGGATTCATTCACCCTGGCTCTGAACAAAGCATAATGTCTGTGGAAAATTTTGGTTGTTCATAAGATGCACAAGATCAGCTGTTCTAGAAAAGAAACGTAGTAAGACATACTCTAAACCTCTGGCTTCCACTGCACTGAACGTTCATGCTATGACTGCTTGAATTCTAAGGAGTGCCAGGAAATGCAGGGGGTGGGAAGGGGAGATACAGCAAGCCTGCCACTGCTCTTCTATATTAATTTTCACATTAAATACAATTAGCAAGGGCTCCTGGTTAATTCATATTTTCTATAGAAAAAAATACCAAATGCATAAATCATCAGTCTTGATGCAGAGACTTTTTCACCGAAAGCTTCATAATTAAACCAACAAGTTGTTTTAACTGCTCTGGAAGTGTATTGCCTGTTACCTGCTACTGTAATTTTGTGTTTTCAGTGCTATTTACTGCAAATGCGCTAAATTAAGAGACAATAGAAACAAAAGGATTTAGAAATACCAAACGTGATCCATACATAACCCAAAAAATACTAAAGACAAGACCTGTTCATCTATTTACTTGAGTAAAATCTACAGCACATGAAATCCATATGACTATAGCATCATAGGGTACTCAAAGAACCTTGAGGTTTCAGCTTGACTGAGAATTTTGGTGCTAGAACAGTAAAAATAAAATTACTCAGCATGGAAATCATAGAAGTTGGCAACTGCTTATTCTTGAGATGCCAGGGAACCAAATGACATGGATGCAGTGAGGTTAAGAACTTCAATTTGTTAATTACCTATCTGAAAACAAACTTTGTAATCCATGTTTTGTTTTCACACAATATTACGCACTAGATACTCATTTGCTGGTACACTCCCATTTGTATCCATACATTCAGGCTGACTTGCAAATAGAACATTCACGTTCATCTCTGTATTAAATGCAACTATCAATAATTTTTACAATTTAAAAACTTATTTAGAAGACACACTGTATACGGAAGTAAAAACACACAGGGATACAGTAAATGTTTTGCTATTCAGTAAAATACTACTTGCAGTACATTAGCCCTTTTATAATTAATTTGAGCCTACTAAGCACCACTGCCCTGGCTTGTTCAGCAGTGAGCTTCTGCCAAAGCAGAACTCCCCCAGGCAGCCTCAGATGGGCACTCTCAAGTCACCCCTGTCTCTCACTGTCTCAGCTGTCACTCCACACTGCCTGCTTACACCAGCTGCAGGGCAGGTGGGTGACAGTGGGGTGTCACAGCAGCCCTCCAGCCTGGCCTCACTTGGCTGCTTAAGCTTGTGCTTCATGCTCCAAAGCACAAACTTCCATCATGGCACAAGAAAAATGCCAGTCACCAGGCAAGACTGCAGGCTTTCACACAGGCAGGCAGCCTTAATACACACATAACCTTCCAGAGATACTCTGAATGCCTGGTTGGCGCCTCCTGTTATCTCAGAAAGACTCACCCTGTTTCCTTCAAGGGACCTGTGTCCCACTGCTATTCTGGATTCCCACACCTGTCCTACCCAATTGTCAGTTTACCTGGAAAATCCAAGCAAAAAAAAATAAAAAATATCTATCTCATGTGTCTCCGAGCCGCAAGGAATGCAAACCCACTAGGTTTTAAAATAGCTTTATGTGACTCAGTTTTGATCTTAACATTTTCAAAATGGCTACTCATCCCTTGCAAAACCAGTACAAGATAGAGATGATGCAAGGCAGTCCAGGAGCAGCCACAGATACTCATCAGCTACATGGCCATACTGCATAGATGACTGAGAACTCAGTCTAAAAATATCGGTATCAAGTCTCAAATGAATGATTTTACATATCTAAAGAACAAAGCACCAGTTCAGAATAATATTGCTATTTATAGGAATAATATGCATGTACATTATGGATGTTCTTTCATTTCTCAGATGTGATTTTATTCTGTTACAGACATCACGACATATTTAAGCTTTACAATACAGAGAACAGATTTAAATCAAAGTCAGCAGACATTTGTCTTATGCTCTATAATTACAAGGATCTCTCTCTGTAGAGAGAGATAAAAAGGCATTAGTTATGGTCAATACTAAAGGGGGTAATTGTGCATTACAGCAGTGATGATCCATATTACACTGAGTTTCAAGAGCTGTGAACAGGAAAGAATATTCTCAGCACAAAACTACGCAAGAGCTTGAGCAGAAACGGAGGGCAGAGACTACTGTGACCATGCTGTATTCATGTATCCCCTGGCAGTTCATTAGATTCTCCATTTTGCAAATCTTCCCACACAGCTTTTACAAAGGTCCATGACCACATCAAAAGCAATGTTTTACTTATAGCTGAATAAAAGAGGACTAAAAAAATCCCCTAGGAATATTGATTTGAAAGAGAATAAAATGGCTTGTGTGATGTTTTCAAGACAATCCACCACAGGGAAATGAATGCCCATCATAACGTAATATCCCTTTTTGCTCCCCATGGTAAAGCACCAGTAGGATTTGTCAGGCAGACAGGACTACACTTCAGGAAGGATAAAAAACTTCAGGTTTTAAGGAGTCAATTTTTACAGCTCCCCTGAACCCTAACTGCAAATAAGATACACAATAGAACTTCATGCTAAATTCCATGACAGCCATATTTTTGTGTAAATACTAAATACTCTTCCTAATCCTGTTTATGTCTGACTCTTAAATGTTCATACAGAAAACAGCACAAAAGGACGCATTTGTCTCTTCTGGGTTATTTTTGTCTCCAAAAAAAACACTATACACATTTTGGAAAGCATTGCTTCCACCAGCTGGGGTCACTTTTCACCTAGTGCCAGTGGAAGAATATAACTACAGTGCATGAATAAAAATACCTACAGTGTTTTATAGGCTGACCTAGGGCATATTTAGTCTGAATACTTGAGGCCATTTGGAGGCATTTTTGAGATAGTGTCACTGTATTAATGGAAGACAGTAACTCTCCAGCTAGATTTTGACTTTAGATGCAATGTGTCTAACCAGTCAATGTATTGGTAAACAAACCTCCTCTCTACAATCAGAGAGGATACAACTTGTGCTGTTAAACCTGAGATTTGCTGTTTAACCTTTCAGCACTAGCAGATTGCTTTTCAATTCTAAATTAGTGGGAAAACCAGTTTTATTTCCACAAAACTATACAGCTATCCCTACAGCAGCTGGCCTCCACTAGAGGCTGCTGAGTTCAGAACCACCACTAGATCACGCTTTTAAACCATGATCCAAATTAACCAAGACATTACAGAACAGTAAAGTTCCATGCCTAATCCTACTCAAGTTCCCAGATCCTGGGAAGTCACTCAAAATACAAGCTATAAACAGCAGACATCTTCTTTGCTCTTCGTTTGGCATAACACAATTCATCCTGCATTCATACGGCTGAGAGACAGAAAGCACTCCATCTGCCTCTCAGCTCATGAGCCCCTTGCTGCTCACTTCTTCACCTGGAAAAGGCTGCAAATAAACAAACCTGTTTGGCCAACTGATCCTTCTTCACCAAGCCAGTGGCTGCAGCGATGTTCCCTGCTCCTTCCACCGTCTTTTGCGCCACTGCCGTCACTCCTGTCACCACAGCTCCCCCAACATTAGACACCTGCTCTTTGGTCTTCTCAGCCACTGAGGAGAAGCAGAAGATGGAAAAAAACATTATGCCTCTGGGAGCTGTAAGTTTCTCAGAGAATTCATCACTGACAGCCCAACATCATGAAAAGCCATAAGGCCATTATATTTTCTGTACCCCAAGTGGATCTTAAGAAATTAAACTATCCATCTGGTAACACTGGAGCAGCAGAGGTAAGAATAAGCCTCAGCTGGGGCTCAATTTCTTTTATGTGAAAGACATCTGACATTTTCATTCATGTCTAACTGCACTTTAGACATGCATCTCTCTGTATAATATATCCTAGTTTGGAAATGCGTTCCAATTAGTCCACCAAACACTTGCTGCATCATACAGGGCATGGAAGACAAGATTTTTTTGCATTAGACTAAAAAATCGATTAATCTTTTTATTTTCTAATATATATTTCATTAAAAAGTAGATCTGTCAATGTTCAACCAGAGAATTTCAAACAGAACCTATTATCTGACTCACTTGAGATTTTTGCCCCAATGCTGAAACATAATATACTAATTTATAAAAAGACTGAATGCCAAAGCAAACTGGATTAATAGCCAACTTCCAAGCCCCAGGGAAACAACAACTCATTTAGCCTACATATACATCAGCAGTTGCCATTCTACCTTTCAGAATATCACTGGGGATTTTCTGCTCATTCATCCCCAAGGGCTCTTTCTGACAGCAGCTTGAACTACAGTGAAACTGCTCTAAGAAAAGAGATGGGATGACTTCATGGCTTGAAATCACATACCCAGATTTCTTGCAAAACACACATGAACTCCTCTAAACAAGGGAATGTTCTCCAAAAACATCCATTGTATGTTTTTGCCATTCTGACTAATCCTATACTCTCCCTCAGGCTAAATCCCCATCCGATCCATAAAATGGATAAAATAAAATGGATTGGATATAGCTTATCTGCATCCTTTATGAGTGTGGGATGGATTTTGCTTGAAAGTTAGGCCACCATTTGTGAGTCTTTTTTGAGAAAGCACATATGAAAATTAGACTTTCTGTGGATAAATTACATTTCTTTAATTCCTTACATAAAAGAGCATCAGTTGTCCATATTAAAGGGCATGCAGCATGAATTACTATGATTGATATTAAAAAGCAAAAAATTAGGAAAAAGCTAGAAAATTAAACAACATGACTAATATGCAATTTTTATTGAAGAACCAAATTATAAATATCTGCTGATCAGAAATGGAGGCAGATAATTTCATGCTCATTCTTGCTAATTTAGAGGAAAAAGTTAGTAACTAATTAAGTATTATCTCTATTATGACCAGGAGCTTTCATTAATGAGTAGAACAACAGACTACACATTGTCTGAAATTAGAAACAGAAAAAGTCTTTCAAATATCTCCCACAGTATACACACTAACAATCTAAAGGTTCATAACAAATTTCACTGTACACATCCACTACTCTACTGCCATGCTTTTTTTCAGAAAAAAAAAAAAAAAGAAGCTAATCCAAAGTCAGTTTTGCTGAAAAGCAAATGTTGCCCTCAGGGAAGGTTTGACTTAATGCTAGCAAGTGCAAAAAGACATCTGTTAAGATGCCCCATTTGATTATTACCAGCTACAGACAACAAAAAGCTTTGGATTCTATGCATGAAATTTATAAGACCCAGTTTTGCTTGGAATCTTTCAGAAAGAAACTATGAAACAAACTCATTCATGTTGCTCCAAATGGCAGAAAGAATTCTAAGAAAATAAAGTAGCACCTTAGAAAAGTAGATTCAAAAATCCAATTTCCCTATAAATATTTAAAACAATTTAAAAGAAGTGGGGGTATGTTTTGGGTATGTTTCAGTACTGCTTTTTGTTTTTCCTCTGTGTCATTCATTTTCTGGCAGAGTTCCTGGGCTGCATCCAAAGCAGCAAACCAGCAAGTCACGGGAGGGGATTCTGCCCCTCTGCCCTGCTCTGCTGGGACCCCACCTGCAGGGCTGCACCAGCTCTGGGGTCCCAGCACAGGACAGACATGGGCCTGACGGAGTGAGTCCAGGGGATGCCACCAAGATGACCAGAGGGATGGAGCAACCCTCCTATGAAGACAGAGAGCTGGTGAGACTCTAATTGTGGCCTTCCAGTACCTAAAACCCTACAAGAAAGGTGAAGAGGGAATTTTTACAGGGCAGAAGTAGATGACTTGAAACTAAAAGAGAATTGGTTTAGATATGGAATAAATTCTTTACTATGAGAGTGGTGAAGCACTGGAACAGGTTGCCACGAGAAGTTGGGGATGCCCCATACCTGGGCTCAAGGCCAGGGGGCCAGGAGCAACCTGGTCTAGCAGAAGGCATTTCTGCCCATGTAAGGGGGCTAGTATCAGATAATCTTTAAGGTCTTTTCCAACTCAAACCATTTCTATGATCCTATAATTCAGGGTCCTTTCATCCTGTTCAATTTTCTCGTATGGAAGTGACACACTTTGTTTTGAAAACTGCCCTTTCCAAAAAAGGTTGAATGGCAGAACACGTAAAAGACAAATTCAGTAGACTTGATGCTGACAAGGGCTCAGTTGGCCTTGAGCATCATCCTTTCTGATAAAATGATAAAGCATGGTTGTACAGTGCTGATTGTTACAGGCACAATTAATCTCATTACCTCAAGCTCTTAAAGCAACTGCACCCCAAAATACCAAGAAACGGAGTGGAATTGAGTGCACTGTGGATGCTGTAGTATAAGCCACCTGATTCTCAATGCCATTATTATACTCACATTTCTTACACTATGTTGTCAGGGCCAGTACAACCACCTACCAAGAGCAACTCTCCAGTTGCTGCTGTTCCCAATACTACAGCATTTTGGGAAGGCACTGTCAGAAGTACATTTCCTCCTCCCAGAAACACATTATCCTAGGAGAGGATTAGTACATACAAACTCAAATGAAAAAGGAAAGAATCAGGCCACTAACACCACTACTTGCACAACAGCAAGATACTGATAAAAGTAGTAACAAAAACAGCATACTTAAGATTGCTACTATTTCAGACAGCCATGGTTTAACCCCAGCTGGCAACTAAGCACCACACAGCTTCTCAGTCACTTCTTTCCCCAGCAGGATGGGGAGAACATCTCCAGAACTCCCACACTGGAATGGGAATTGGAAAGGTAAAAGGAAGAAAACTCATAGGCTAAGTATGGTTGAATTTAAATAAAACAATAATAGTAATAAAAAGGAAAATAAAGAAAGACATAAATCCCACAGGTGATGCAAATTAAAACAATTGCTCACCACTAACCAATGCCCAGCCAGTCCCCAAGCAGATGACCCCCACCAACCCTCCCCATGGTTTTACTGCCCAGTATGATGCCATACAGTGTGGAATAACCTTATGGTCAGCTGTCCTGGCTGTGTCTTCCCCCAATTCCTCATGAAGTCCCAGCCTCCTCACTGGTGGGGTGAGGTGAGAAACACAAAATGCTGTAAGCATTGTGTAAGCCCTGCTGAGCAGTAACTACAACATCCCTATTTTATCAACACTGCTTCCAGCACAAATCCCAAACAGCCTCATACCAGGTACTATGAAGATTACCTCCATCCCAGCCAAAACCAGCACACAGACAAAGCTGACACAGGAGTTACCATGGAAGATCTCTCACACACTGCTTCAGAAATCAGAGCCATGAAGATAAATTCAGTAAACTACATAAATAGCACAGATTGGCAAAAGCATTCATAGCAAGGAGAGAATTGTCTTTCCTGTCTCTAAGGAATAACTAGACAACATCATTACCAGAGTGATAATGAGCTCCAGCCTGGTGACCCTCCAGATCTGAAAATCCCGCAATAGGAGAAGAAAAACCAAAACAGATTTCCAGTCCCGTGTATTTTATTGCTTACACTAAGTAGTAATGGGGAAAGCATTAAGTGTGCACAAACAAATCAGTTCAGAATGCAGGGGGTTGATTCCAACATAGTAAATTTATCTGAATACCAGGTTGCTTAATGATCTTAAGACATAAGTCTTTGTAAAATTGATATCTGCTTTTCATGGTGTTGAGAACCAGAGCAAACCAGCTTCTGCAGAGCTTTGCTGTACTATGGCCTGATTACATCTTTTATCTATGCAGAGACTGTCCATTCCATTAAATGACCCTGGGACAATGAACAATCACCACACCAAGGCTAACTTTGAGTTTAAATTCTGTCTATAGAACTGTGCAAAAAGTATTGGCATCGCAGTTGCCTTTCCATTACGTATTACAGACAACTGGGTAGCATATCAATGTAAAACCTCTGGAGCAATTCAAAATAATAACTAGCTACTTTCAAGCTTGAACAATAAAAGTAGATTCAAACCACAAAATTTCTCTGAATTAATGAACTTGCTCTCATTGTTCCAAATATGCTTTTGAGTATGTATATCAAACAGTGAGTTTGTCTTAAGTACTTGAAGAATTTATTTATGAAGATGCCATAAATATGATGGTTCTTTAATTTATTCAATTTTTTGTAAGATACCTTATGGAGTTAAAGAGCAGGAATTCCAGTGGCTAAGAATGTTAAGAAAAACGAGAATATCAGATAAAAGAATTAAGCAAGACACATGACTGTGGTTACTACTATCAATATTGTGCCTTCACTCACATGATAGAAGGACTAAGAGCTTTTTTGCCCTGAGTTTTTTACAAATAGTGCTTTGTTTAGAATATCAGGAGATGGACTGTAAATATTTCATCTTTGATACTGTCCAGTTCTGGAAGATAAGTAAAATACGTGAATTTTGCATTTACAGTCAAAGGCCAGGAGACATTTTAATTAGGAAGGCAAATCTAAACACAAGCATATACCTCATAAAACCAATAAGCAAAGCTGCTTTATCATCAGAAGGTCAGAGAAAGGGTGACCTGACAAATAACACACTCACCATATTCCTGTGAATCGCAGCCTGGAATCCTCATTTCACAGTATCCTGATGTCATGGTACAATCAGGTCACATTTAAAACAAGAAACACCTCAGTCCAGTAATTCTGGGTTTGGAAGTTAACTGACTGAGGAATGCATTTAGGTTTCTTAGCTATTTAAGGTATGTCATTTCACCAGCATAGGGGGTTAAATCACAGCTTATTCAAAGATACCAAAACTATCAAGATTTCGGAACTCAGACATTAAGAAGACTGACTGCAAAACTACGAACACTCATTTTGACCCGTGATTCTAGTTTGTATCCTACTGTCTCCAACCTCTCAAACCATTTGTATTTACATAACAAAGTGTTTACTTCACCTGAGGTTTCAAATGATGCACTGGGGAGTTCATATCATAAGACCAGCACAACTTGTAAACTCCCAGTCATATGAAAAGAGACAAGCAAGTCTTTACAAGTGACTTAAAAGGCATTTTTGTCACATCAGCTTTAACAGTATTGATTTAAATGGATTTGACTTCTCTGGCAACTTCACTAGCATCTGTCTTCATGTTATACCTCAAAGAATCACTACAGTGAATCCAAATCTGTTTTTATCTACCTTCTCTTATTGCCAGAACAACTAGTTTTATTTTTTTATTCTTAAAATGTGTCCAAGCAGTTCCTCCTTTCTTACATTAGCAAGTCCATATTGTTTCATTTTGGAAGCCGTGATCGCTTAGATTTTGCCTGAAGTCTTACCGCTGCCACATTTCAACCTGTTCACTCCCTGATCATTTTCCATTTTCATTCAACAGCCAAACTCATCTCAAACAGCCTGAAAGGTTAGAAAGAAGCAAACTGCAGCACACAACCCATTATTCCCAAGTTTTGGGTGTTTCACTTTGTGTCACCCATTTCCTCAAGTCTGTGAGGAGCAGCTACTGTTTTGTTTAAAATCAACAATAACTTTTTCAAATTTTCTGTTTATAGGCACAGCACATAACAGACACATTCCCATTATGTTTGGGTTTACAGTCTGTTTTATACCTTCCAGAAGAAAATTTAACATATTTTCAAATCCATTAAAAATTCTATTTACCTACTGAGAATTTCCTGCCGAATTAAATATTTTGCCATCATATAAAGAGAGGTACAGCATTTGAAATCAGTAGTTTCTTCCAGGACGAGCAAGTCCCCTACTGAGCTAGCCCACTAGAATCCCACTGCTTCAGCAAATTTCATCCATGTGCAAAATGCCCTTGACTTCAATTCTGCCACATCCCAGCTTGGTGAACATCACCTCTATTAACTCGCTTCCTAGTGCTCTCAGATGCTGCTCCCACATCTGTGATGATATTGAGTATATGTGCCCCAAATCTCATTCTGCTGCAATCCTCTACTGGTCATAGCAATGATCCCTCTGAATATTTCTCTTAATTGAGGTCTAATGAGCTGATATTTCAAATCTCATGACAGCAGCATGCATGCTGAGGCTAAACTCTGAAGGACTAGCCCCGATATTCTGCTCCATTTTCTTACTAGAAACACTCTTGACTCACTTTTCAACCATTTACGTGGGTTGTGTATTAAGTACTGACGTTTGTTTACCTACCACTGTTTATCCTTTGCCTTGGCTTATGTGAGCATGACACACTGATATGTGAGCTGAATGACACACTGGCTGTACACTGAGGAAAAGAAATCCTTTTCTACTCTCTTATTTGTTTCTGAACATGTTAGGGGAAAAAACAACTTAAATTTCTTGACCATGCATTCTCCTCACATCACCAGAACTCCCACATTCTACAGCAGAAAATTATACATTTTATTCAATGCCCTGTGGTCAACTAATGCTTTTCTGTACTCCATAGTTATCAAAGACTTTCATTCATTTTTCCCCTTAAAACAAATTATTGGTTACTGGTTTCAGTTCATACTTAAGATGAACCCTGAAAATCAATTTAAAATGCAAATTTACTCTTTCTTAGTGTAGAAATGTTATTGTAAAGATACATGCCTGGCATCAAATTCCAAGTTTGAAAGTGTTCTTGCTACTGAAAGATTAATCAGTTTAAAAAAACGACATTTCAAAACACTCATAACTGTGACAAATTCCAATCAAAACTCTGAAATTTGTTTCTTTCCTGTAAGCCATTTCCATTCAGTCTTCCCACCCAACCAGATCTCTCAATTTTCCTATGCTTTTCCATCTTTTATAAACTGTAGTGCTCTCAAAAAAACATAATTTTTAACAGCTAAATGGCTGGTTAATCTCATGGAGGAAGGAAGCTAAAATCAAGAGATGATTATCTTACCTGTTGTAACACCATGAACAACTCCCTCCTTGGTCCTGGAACCTAAACAAAGAAAAATATTAGGTTGAAAACACATACTCTTAAGTACTGGTCAAGACTAGATAGATGATAAAGAGGGATCAACATGTAGGCTGCATACCATTGCATACAGTATTTTCCAATGCCATTAAAAGAAACTAAAAAGGAATTCAGTCTAAGGGAAGAGACAGAACCATGCATGGATGGGTATCAACTGTGGAAAGGTGAATAATACTGGAAACACTTCTGCAGTACATACTGACTTCCCTGCCATTTTCTGAATAGCTGTGTTAGGTCTCCCACATGGCAAACTCACACAAATGACTCTGCACAGAAATCATGTTAATGCCCTAAGGAGGATCGTGCACACATTTGTAGAAGCTCTGAGCCACAGTTTCCAGAAGATCATCAAAATTTCATCTTTGCCAGATCTCAGCTTGCAGGGCTTGACAATCACTACTGAACTACACAAAGAGGTTAAATTCACGGGGAGATAGAAATGCCAGCCAGATTTAGATATCAACTAATCCAAGAGAACAACTTTAAACAATAGATAGGATTTCAAGATGGAAATTCCCCCCAGGTCACACCCAAGGTCTGCTGCATCCACTGTTAGAGGCACATGCCACAGCTCACATATGATTTGCAGGCAGAAACCTGGAGCTTGTGCTAAACTGAGGCATAACAGCAGAACTGTGTGTGCAATGTAACTCTGCCACGCTGAAGACCAAACTGATTTCTGCAACAACCCTGAAAAAAAAAACCAACCCCATGACTTTTGACCATGCTGCATGAAAGGGAACAATCTCCTGTGTCTTTAAGGGGAAGGGAAACAAATTAGCACTGCTGTTTAAAACACAACCGGATGTCTTTTTCCCTACCTGCCCTCTACTTGCCCTTGACAGGAACCTTGTCAGGTTCCATAATTTGGCTACATTTCAGGGACTTGCATCCATCTGTGGACTATGATGCTTAACAATGTGCAATTAACAGACTTCATGGCTCCTAGTTAATCATCTTACCTAGTCTGGCAGAGATAGGATGACATTTTATTTTTCTTACCAACACAGAAATGACCTTATTTGTAATGCAATTTTTTGGCTGTCATTCAGTATTTGAGACATTATAATTTATACTTCTAACTTTACACTTCTAACATAACAGAAGAAAATGCATAAGCAGAAAAATATTAGAAAAAAAAATCCAACTTTTTGTCCAAAATTCTTTACAAAAATACAATTAAACAAAACAAGGGAAAAAATACTGCATGAAGTAAGATGAAATGTTCCTTTAGCTAATGATGAGGTTAAACAGCTGAGAAGTCTTTTTCCCTTTTTATTTCAATTTTATCTTTTAAAGAAGTTTGCTTTTTCTCACTGAAAAATATTTACCATTGAACAATGTGAAGTTTCATTAGATGTAAAGTGCTCCCACCTAAGGACTTGTTTTAGGACTTCGGTTCTCAGTTTTGTACCACCATGAGACCTGAAGAAGCAAAGCACATGCTGGAATTCAAGCAGGTGATGGTTCTACTGACTTCTAGAAGCTAAACACCGCTTCAGGCTTACATTGTGTCTATTGGAATACTTAATATTAAGCACATGCATTTAAAGGAATTGTTAGACCTGGCCAGTTCATGTTTGACTGTTTGCAAGCCAAGCCATTAAAGACATGGAAACCTGTGAATTAGCAAGCACTCAGTTCCCTAAGGCCAGAAAGGAAGGATGCCATGCCAGAATTCCCTGAGGACCCGTGCAATGCACACATCTCCAGAGGGACCTATTCCAAGTCGATACTCACCTCACTTGCCCAGACAAAACACTGCTATAAGCACAACTCAAACAGGAATGCCGGTCTCTTTAGTGGAAGACAGACTTTTCTTTTAAAAAAGAAAAGCTCACAGACCCATATGGAAGGGGGGTATGTATAGCCAGATCCATTAATTAGCAAACAACCAGCCAATTGGTGTTCCAGACCCTACAGCATATGTTAGAGCTCAAGAGCACTTGCCCCACTGCTGCACACTTGCATGCAAGTAGCTGTTCCTGCCATCGCAGCTACAACAGCATCTAGAAGCACATTAGGATCTGCCAGAACAGGCCTATAAATAACAACAGCTGAATTCAGTGGGACGACTTCTGGCTGGCCATGAAGGAAAGCTGGTTGTTTCTGGGAGAAACTAGCTGTCTTTCATCCTGGCATTCCCAAAATACCAACAGTCTTGCTCATTATACCCCGCATAACAAGGGGAACAGAGGAATCCAAGTAGGGATAATATAAAGACCAAGGAACACGGCTCTAACTTAAACCAAGAAGCAATAGTAGTACATGGTAATGCTACTTTTCCTAGCTATAGTAGACATCTGTGTGAGGGGAGGGAGAATACTAAACAGCATTTTTGTGGGGTTTTTTTTCAATTATAAAAAGTACCATAAAGTCTCTTCATGATTTATTATCATTGCTGTCATTGTGCCAGAACGAAGGAGTGTATCAGCAGTTTGCAAATACACTCGTTTCTGGACTATTTGAGAGACCAATGGACTGTTCATATTGCTTAGTCAGAACTGGTTACAGACTGGGAGACATAAACCCAAATCAGAAGAAGGGGCCATCAACGTTTAAGGAAAACACTTGCTTCCAAGTGCTGAAGCCCATTATTCCACCAGACTGGCCTTGAGTCCCTCAACTGCTCTGCTGGCTTTTCTACTACCAAAGGAAAATAAGAAAGATTATGAAAAGGGAGTGGAGGAATTTGGATGGCTTTGCCAAATAGGTCATGAGTGCTATGCTCTACTCTAAGGCCATGTGCCAGCACAGGGAGTAGTAAACAACTGTCAGCCACCCGGCTGACAAATAAACTATTCCTTTGTTCTGCGAGCTTATGACAAACCAAAAATGATCAGACTGGAAACTTCCATTCCTGGGCACAGAACATGCACTCAAGAGTCAACTGAGCAAAAACTCCAGCTCCCTGGAAGCACCACAGACATCTTGCACACTGCACTGCCAAGAGTGTGTGAGCACATCCTTCTTACTCAGTTCCTGGTTTCAAAGCGAGTGGGGATTAAGTAGTGCCACTCACTTCCTCTCTGCTTCACACTAACAGCTCTTGAAGGATACAGAAAGATGCAGCTTTAAATTTACAGCACACACAGGACTGCTGAGCCTCAGTCCTTTCTAAACAATGAAACTGGCTGACACCAAGAAAGGTCCTGATGCTGTGCTTGAAAGAGTTGAGAACCACCAATTTCAGCTAGCCAATGCTGAAGCCCATTGGCAGAGAAACTTAAGCAGACAAAAACCCCAATACTTGAAAGCAGAAAACCACATTGTAGACTGTATTGAAGGGATCTTGGGTACTCAAAAGGAGGCTCAACAGTGGACTGAGGGAAGAAATTAGACTTCAGCATGGACAGGGAAAAAAAAAATAAAAATCCTCAATTAATCCTCCAATATACTGCTCTCCTACATAACTCTAAGTTTCTCCCTTTGCCAAGAGAAATTTTCCTTGTGCCAAAAAAATTGCTAAAACCGAAACAAGAATAAAAGAATTACAGTGACCACATTTCATCCCAAACAGCAGCTGTTGTAAATAGGTAGAATAGGTTATTACCTATTCTATTATAGGTAATAGGAATAGGTAATAGGAATATAGGTAAATAGGTAGAATTAGGTTACAGTCTTTCACATAATAGTTAACAGCAGCCTGGACAGAAAAGTCCAGATGTTTTCCATATTTAAACTGCACTGATTTCAGTGGGAGACCACATCACCTAGGGGATCTGGACCAAAGACTCTGCATCTTCTTAATTCTCCAGCAGCAATTGGAGGCTGAATGTTATGAAACTGAAAATGATTAACAGGTCCCACTCAGCCCAGTGTTGTTAGGTTCTTCTTTGCAATATGTCAGGCAGCTTTCACAGTATAATCTGGCTGTGAATCTCAAATCTGAAAACCCAACTATATAAAAAAGGGAGTGAGAAGTCTTCATGAGCTCTAATGAATTGTGCTGCTCCTCTCCTCTGCTCATAAAGGGGCTTTACCACCTTCCTCAGTACAATCATTATCAGTCTGCAGAGCACAAGAGTATCACACTGGCCTTTGCCAGTGCTGCACAGGGGAAGAGACACCTCTGCTGTGTGCTTGGGAAGTAGATAGAAATATCCAGCTCCTCCTTTTCCTATCTGAACTTGCTGAAACCTCCTGCCTGTATGGGCAAGCACACAACTGGACACAAGCTGCCAGAGCTTCTGGAGACAGCTTCCAACCAAAGGCTCTTTTCCCTGCACAACACACTGCACACAGCCTGTGCCTCCTGAAAAGGAGGGATCTGGTGGGAGAAGGATCCTCCACTGTTACTACAGTCACATGCACAGGTTCCTATCATGGCTCAGGGCTCTGCTGTCCCCAGTAATTTCTTGAAAAAAATAGAAAGCCTGCCCTCCAAAGTTCAACCTCAGCAAAAGCATCTCTGAAGACAATAGGAAATCTGTTGCCTTTGGGAACAGAACTAGGTTCAAATGTTATTATGGTTTGGAGAACAGGTCAGACACAAAGATTAATTTAGCACACAATGCAGGTTTCTAATACAAAGAAATCGATGACCCCAGAAGCTTGGCCAGGACTACAAGAAAACCAAATAAAAGAAAGTCCTTCTGCTGGAAAATGATTCCAACATCAAGCACAATATACAGTGGAAGAACATCTATTTCAATATCTTGAAAATGAGCAGATGCTCCTTTTAAAATAGATTCATCCTACAATTAGTGCTCAAAATGACTGCCATCCCTGTTGGCAAGAGCACTGAGCTTTGCTATGGCTTAAAAGGGAGGGAAGCATATTCCAAATGAGTAGTCCACACTATCTGGAGCAGAAATAATTTCTTACAGACTGGCACTAGCCTGCAACAATAGAGGGAATCCAAAAAAGGCACTGGAATACCAGAGACCTCAGTACTCCCATTGAAAAGAAATGCCTATGGTTTTCAGCTCTGTTTAACTTCTCTCTGATACGTGTGCACATCTCCCTCAGTACACACAGAGCCCATTACAGAACTGACCTGCTACAAAATCAACAGAACAGAAGCTACCTAAAGAAAAGGCTATTTCCCCCCCCTCCATTTTTTTTATGGACTAGCTTTATTTGATGAATAAGAGAAACGGATCCATATAATTTTTTTATAAATAACCACTTGCTCATATAGTCTTGGCAGATTGTTTTTCTGTGAATTTTTCATGACAGCATTTGCAAGATACTCCTCTAAAGCCCACTATTTGCTAAATGAAGATGACTGTCATGCATTGAAGTACCAGTCAGGGATTTGGAAAGAATTTTATCCCAGGCTTTCTATGCAAGACTTGTGTGGCCTACAATAAGACACTAACAACTGCTTTGTTAGCTTGGGGTCTACCTGCCCTACCTCATCAACTGTAGAGGCTTTTCCTTGAGAGGTCGTGGAAAATATCTGCCATGAATTTGCAATAGTAATTACAGAACATGAAATTAATTTCAGAAGATAACACTTTGCCATACAAAACATTACTGTCAATGCACCAAGCAGTCGGCATGTCTACTACTCAACTCCTGAGCTAACCTCTCAAGTCTCTCTTCCTGAAATCCTATTCAAGCCCCACATGCTCTGTAGAATGCTGTGAAGCCACCTTCACCTCCAGCTTCTACATTTTTCCATATTAATTTTTACTGTGCCAACCACCCTTGAGCCTTGATCTAGAAAACTTCTTGCATGGAGTGCCAGCCAATGACCTGTACTGTAAGGCACTTGGCTTCAAAGAACCGGAGCTCCGGAAGGCACAGCTTGCCTCTTGTTTCCTTTGCAATGGTCTCCTATGAACAATTACATATTTTTTTTCAGAAGAATAGGTCTGATGAGGATCCAGATGTGAACGTCTGGCTGCTGCCCACCTACCCACATAGAGGACTCCCTCTTTCGTCTTTCCTGCTGCCTCTGCCACACCCTGCTTGGTTTTTTCTGCTGCTGCTACGACTCCCTCCTTTGCCTTGGAAAGCCCTTTCATGAACACATCCATGGCTGAAGACTTTCTTCACACAGCTCTAGAGGGAAAAAAAAAAAAAAAAAGTACACACTTTCAGTAAGGTTTTTTTTCAGCTTTTTATCCCAGAAAGGGAAAAAAAATATTCTAACTGAATGGGATCACAATGACTTTAAATGATATTATTTATACCCCCAAATTGTATAGCTATATGAAACAGATATCCTATTTCCACAGAATCCTACGGAGAGGTTGTCAAAAATGCAGTTCTGACTGGAAGACAGTTCCATTGATATAAGTGACTTCTTGCCTATCAAGGCATCATTTCTCCCAAAGGACAGTTCTGCTCATGTGCTGAATGCAAGATTTAGCCCTGTGATTCTCATCCAGAGAAAAAAAGCCAACTTAAATAAACACCAGCAACTTAAAAAACCGAACAGACCAACCTGAAAACCAAACCACACAAACCAAATAAATGACAAATGTTCACGTGTTTTAAGAAAATGCCATTACAACTCAGGACTGGGAGAAATAAAAAATGCTGCATTTCCATTAGTCCAGCATTTTACACACAGTCCACATCATTCTTTTGGAAACTGAGTTTTCCTGAATGGGTTCCTTGCCTGCATCACAGCTAAGAAAATATTTTACTAAAAAGCAAAAGCAAGAACACAGGATTTTAAAAGCACTGCACTAAAGCTACCAAGAGAGTCCTCCGGCAGCAATTCAACCCAGTGCTACACCGAAACCACCGAAACAGTAATTAAAACCCAGAATCAGTGTCCCTTCAACAAATCCATTATCAGTAGTCCTTTCTCTTCCTCCACCCACACGGACAGAAGTGCTGCCTGTTATCTCCTCTCCTTTGCCAGAGGCTGAGTAGGAGGAATGGATGTCTAAGAAGGCATCTGGGCTGTCGCAGCTTTCCACGAACTCGTGACGAGCGTGCGAAGAAAGGCAGCGCTTGTGCTCCAGCCAAGCTGCCCACGGTACCTGCTGCCCTGGGGCTGGCTGGGGGCTTTACACACCGCGCCGGGGGAGGCAGCGCCGCCCGCGGGACCCTCCGCCTCCTCCACCGGCAGCGTCCCCCGGCCCGGGGGGGACCTGGGGCACCGGGCACCAAACTGATGGCCGTGCATCAAACCACACACGGGCACCTGCAGAGGGAGGAGAGAGGGAGCGGGGCGTCGCGCCCATATATACGCGCGTGTGTATGTAGCTGTACATATACAAACACAGACATACGTATAAATACATACACACAGCGAGGCACCTACCGAGGGAAGCAGAGCGGCGCGACCATATGGGCACCCACGGGCTCCCGCGGACACGCCGTCGGCACACGGCGCCCGGCTTCTCCTCCCTCCCCCGCGCCCACACGAGAAGGCTCAACAGGACGTATCCAGCCAGCTATCTCTGGCATCACACACACCCCCCTAATCCTCCGCAGGCACAGTCGCGCTGCCCCCCGAGC